GCCGGCCGTTAGAGCCCCCCGCCGGCCGTTAGCGCCCCCTGTCGGCCGTTAGCGTCCCCCGCCGACGGCCGTTAGCGCCCCCTGCCGGCCGTTAGCGCCCCCCACCGGCCGTTAGCGCCCCCTGCCGGCCGTTAGCGCCCCCTGTCGGCCGTTAGCGCCCCCCGGCGGCGGCCGTTAGCGCCCCTGCCGTTCCACGGGGGAGAAGCGCCGTCCCGCAGCGGCGTGTGGAAACGAAGTGCGGGTTAAGGAGCGCCGCGCTCGCTCGCCTTGCAGGAGCACTGCATCACGCACGAGATCCTGCGGAGGGTGAGCCCCAGGGAGGCCGAGCTCCTGAGGGATCCCAGCATGGAGTGCAAGGTCCGCTTCAGGTAAAGCGGACGTGGGTTGTGCCCAGTGCCTGAATCTTGCATTTCTTCATCAACATATAATCGTAAGAATAAGGTCTTTTGTCCAAACCACAACCTTTAAATCATGACATTACCTTAAGACATCTATACTTTACATTTAAAAAAAGTATTCTAGGGTTCTGATGGTTTTAAATTTATGCTATTCTATTCTGAAGTCTTAAATGGCAGCATTGCAATTTAGCAGTGTCTGAGTGAACCAATCCCTCACTTTGTATGTCAGGAATTCTCTAATAATTCTGGGACTGCCTTTAAATTGAAAGTTTTCAAGCTATCATTTGAACTGTTCTGAAAATCAGTGAGAAACTCCTTTGAATCTGAGTGGACTTGCAGTTATCTATTGCTTTAGATAAATGTCTTTTGCTATTTGGAAATTTTTCAGTTCTTAGGAACTTCTAGGATCCAGTGGGACATGAAAATAGTTTTAGTAATCATTTTTTAACCATTTTTAGTTCAAGTCACCAAATACCACTCTTCTTTTACTGCATTCTTTCACCCAGTTCAACTTTATATGTGTTTTTTTGTTGTTATTGTTGATGTTGTTTAAGTACTGATTCCTCATTAAATTGGGAGTGATTTACAATTTCAGCTACTGATATTACTTAAACTATCTTTTCACAAGAACTGTGTCTAGTTTGTGGGCCTTTTGTAAAGCAAGCAGGGTTTGATATGTTATCTTGCAGCCCTTGCAAAAGATGTTAGGATATTGAGAAATGTTTTAATGCTATTAAAATTTACATGGGAGTGGAGTATAGAGAAAAAAAAAAAAAGAAGAAGAAGAAAAAGTATTTCTCTGGCCTTCCATTCTAAGAATATTAAATCAAAAAAATAAAACTAGCCCTTTCAGCATATTTTAGCAAAGATGCCAAGGAATTGAAATCTGTGGTTCATTTGAAACAAGGTAGACTGGAGCAGGTTCTTTACAGCTCATATCAGAAATAATGAGTTCTAAATTTCCTTCAGGTAAGATAGGACCAGACAACAGTCTTTTCTGATTTAAGCTATGGGCAATCTGTGCTCATATTGCATTTAATTAACTGCATTCTTTGTTTCCTCAGATTTGCTGGGCAGGAATTTCCACCTTTCGTTGTGTTTAAGATATTTCGTCACACCCAAGGCAAAAGCAGCAAATACATTAGTGGAAAAAGAATAATAAGCCCATCAAATGAGGTGACTTTTACTTTGTGTACAAGTGTGGTCATTTTGTGATCAGTGATTTTCAGATCAGTGGTATCTTGGCATAATATGTAACATATTCTGTATTATGTTTATCCTCTTACTCAGTCTTTTGATTAAGCACAATAACAATACATTTCAAATGAAAACAAGTAGCGTATTTCTATTGAATACTGTTAATTTTCACTTAGCAAAGAAAAAATTCATCAAGCTCCAAGCTTCTACACAAGGCTTTACACAAAGATATGTGAAAGCATTTGCCTGATTTCTTTGTGCATGGAATAAGTGTGTTCCGTGGGCTGTGTCTTGTGCCTGCCCTTACAGCTGTGTCCCAAGGCAGTTCCTGCAGAACCAGGCTGGAAGGAGCTTTCCTGTCTCCCTAAGGTGGCACCTAGTAGAGCTGCCTGGGACGGGAGGAACCTTGGTTGCCTGGGTACAGACTGAACAGAGCTCCACGAGAGGGAGTTAAGAGCTCTTGAAGCAGCTTTCTGCTTTCAATTGCACTCCTCTAGGCCTTCTTATGGCTCCAAGGGAAGCCATGGTTCCTAATTTAGACATGTGATCAAGAAGCATGGACATGTCCAGGTCCAAAAATTATAGGAATTTAAAACAGTTAATACTGCTTTTAAAGCATGCATCCTCTTACATCTAGAAAATTTGATCAGAATGTTTATGTACATTAAAGCATCTTAAAGATATTTGAATTAACAGGTACTTCATCTGATAGGGTATCACGGAGAAACACAATAGGCACACACTCACTTATATCCCCTTAAAAGTTATTTGTAATAATTAAGTTTTGTTGGGTCATCTTAAAAAAAAAAAAAAAATCTTGCTTTTAGAGTCTTTTTACAGACCAAATGGAACCAGGTGCAGCATGAAAGAACATTTTCCAGACTGATGGGAAAGTTTCACCATCCCACTGGAGAACTGGACAATGCACAATGATTTTCTAATTTCTCAGTTCTCTATAAATTAGCAAAAGGTCCTTTTTATTTGCTGGGTAATTGGAGGATTGTCAGGAGCGATGTGAGGTGAAGAAGGAAGGCTTCCAGCTTGTGCCTGGCTTTTTTTTTTTTTTTTTTTTAATTTTTTTCTGCTGTATTTTACAGGCTGCAGCTGATGCTTGCAAGTTAATGGGGTATCGGAAATATTATGAACAAATACTGCAAGATGAGCTTCAGTATCAGAAGCAGAGGATAACAGATGAAACAGATGTTGCTACAATGAAAGACTACATGCATGTAGGAAACGTTTCAGATATTTCATTATAGGTTTTGGTAATGAAGACTCCCTCTTTAGCAAAGAAGTTAGGATTTTATCTAAAATGTTAGGATTTTATCTAAAATGTAGCTAACTGACTTCTAGGAAAGAATGATATTCGGGCTCTATCTTTCACCATAGAAATATACTTTGACATTTACATCTCTGGAAAATAAGCAGTAAGAGTGTGGCAGAAGTTTGTGGAAAATGGTTTCATAGTATTTTATAGCAACTTTGTCAGAGCATAGAAAGCGACTGGGCCATTTGCAAGGCAGTCACATTTTTGATGTATTTCATTCCTCCTCAAGATGTTAAGAGACAGAAAGTTTTCAAAGATTAAAATGATGTGAGTGAAAAAAAAAAAGCTGAACTAATGGGATCTCTTCTGGTTAGTTCTTAACTAAAGCTTTATCACAGGCTGTGGCTGGGACTGTGTTTCCCAACTGACTAAAGGAAAAAGATTTTTTTAACCATTTCCTCTCTTTAAGTTTGTTACAAGAAAGAATAGCAAAATACTTTGTTGCCGCTCATACAGCGGTATAAATATTAAATATGCATATTTTTGTAATCTTCCTAAATTCAGTGCTTACACAGCAATTATTTATACGCTTACATAATGCAGATATAAACATCTACCGAACAGATAATTTGCTAAAAAGATCAATTTAAAAAAAATCAGACTATTTTGTGAGCTTTACCACTCTGAATGCATTTTTTCCTTTTACGTGCAAGTTCATCTGCAAGGTGATTGATATGTCTTATTAAAAAAAAAAGGGAAAATCTTTATAGAGAAGACCAATACAAATATATTAGTTTCCAAGCAGGTGTGTTCTTCTTTGACAGTACATCAGCAGTCTGGATGAAACCCCTGCATACTTTGGTGGCAGGAACAATTGCTGGAGAAGGCTGTCTCTGCAGAATTTCCCCAGGACAATGATCGTATATGACATTATGGATTATGCTCAGTCCAGAAGACTGTCAGACAGACTTAAAAGGGAGCTGAAGTTTCTGCTGCTGAGGCCACAGAATAAAGAGCTTTGGCATGATCAGCTCATGGCTATTGCTAATATTAGGTAAGAACCCGTACCACGTTTTGTTTTATTTTGCATGCCAGCATTTTTTCACTTGACTTGGTAAAGCATTTCTAAATACTTGTGAAAGTAGTATTTCCCTTTAGAAAACTGCAGCACAGAGAAAGTTTAAAATGTTGCTACACATGAACTCAGTCTAGGCAAAAAAAAAGCAAGTTAAGAAACGTTATTCCTAATTCTTTGACTTAGCTGTTACACTCTATCTTATTATCTTTCATCTGCTAATAATTATCTATTATCTTTCATGATGTTGTATTAGATTGCTTTTTTGTTTGTTTTTGTTTGTTTGTTTTTGTTTTGTTTTCCCAAGAATAAAGGCAGTACTTTACTAGACTGTTATTTGCCACACCTGGCGGTGGGAGGGTGGAATTCTTGCATATTTCTGTTTAAATTTGAGTTTGCAACATCTACCTCATTAAATTTACCCAGTGTAGTTACCTACTGACACTGGAAAACTGTATAATTCTGAAGTGCTAGTTTATCCCAATGTTCTCTTTGATGAGATTTTTGGGTTTTTTCCAAAACATATTTTCCATGCACCTTTTCTTCATTGAAAAGCAATATTTAAGACTATGACCTGCCACTATTGTCTATCAGCCTGTTTAAAACTCATTTAAAAAATCTTCATAAACTGCTTTTCTGCCTCTCACTACTTCTGTGGGGTTTTTTGTTTGTTTGTTTGTTTGCTTTTAAGTTAAAGATAGCAGACGTCTGTCAAAAGGCATCTGGCAGATGTCTCTTTCTTTCAAGCTATTTTGAAAATATACAGTTTAGAGAAAATATCCAGCTAGGAGTGCTCCAATATACTGAATTTTCCGTTTCAAGCAGCTTCACCTATTGTTGGGAACCCGGCCTCCTAAATAGTTTCCAGAAAGCACAGCAGGGTGAGGTATGTGAGGTACACAGTTTCTCTAGGTAGGTTTCTAAATCTACTTTTTATATCACCATCCCTTTTAGGATATATTTATTAAAACATCAAATTGAACTGTCTTTTGAAAAGGTGTATGATGACAGTTTTTATCTAGTGCCCTTATGAAGGAAGCGTAGTTAGTATTTTCATCAACACCCTATTTCATTACTTCACTCATTCTCTAAAATGGGAAGAAGAAAAAAAAAAAGGTTAAGCGGATTTTTGCATTCAATGATGCTGTTTTGTTTGGAGCAAAGCTTACTTCATGCTTCGGCTTTCCAACTTACTGTGTATATTTTTTAAAGTATTTTGTATTTAATGCTCATCAGAGGTGCTATTTTGGTAGCTTTGAGGTCTCAAGTCATATGCTCTATAAGCCAATCATATGTGAAAAACAGGCAGATGCCACCACACATTTCTTTGTGCTTTCCAACTGACTCGCCTTTAATTACATCAAAGGGATTGCTACATTCTTCTCTTGGGTGATTCAGTTGTTGAATTTGTGTGTGCTGTCATCAGCTTTGTCACATTCTGACAGCATCCAAAATATCCTCAGTGCTTTCTAAATAAAGATTCCGTAGTCTAAGATAGGGGACAGGTGGAAGAGAGAAATCTATTGCGCAAAAAGCGGTTAATGCAGCTGAATGCACTTTCTGTTTTGATATCGTTAGGCAAGCTAACTTTCCTTCCATAGCTGAAGTCTCTTAAGATCTCTAGTTCCAGCATTTCTAAATTGCCACCTTCTAGGCTCTTCCTTCTGCAAAGACCCCTAGCTCTTCTATTTTTAAGTCATTGATGTTACCAACAGAGATAATGGTGCACAACAGTGCAAAGTGTGGCAAACATCTTGCAGTGCATCACACAGGTTGCATGCTACTAAAACCAGGGCCAATCTATAAACTAACAAACATCTTTTTGATGCCCTAAGCAGCAATCAGAACAATTCCAACTCGTTTTAACAGTTTAAACACATCTTACACTGCTGAGAGTGGGAGGAGTTCCAGAGTAGCCCATCTGACATCCACACAGAGAAAACTTTTGGAGAATATAATGCCTATGACTACATGCTGTGCTGTGTCTTTCATGATTCAAGTGAGCTATTCCTTGAGAAATAGGGAAGGATTTACATACCTGAACGGCCAAGCCTACACTTACAGTATTAGCGATGCCAGGGGTTGAGTCCTGACTTGTTTCCCTTCCCTGTTCCTCTACTCTGGGACTTAAAACCTTAGAGGATCGCAGGGCTCAGAAGAGAAGCAAACTGCTCTGCAGAGTCTTTGGGCAGCTTAAGTAAAAAGGGAGTTAAAACCAAGCAGCACTTTAGTAACAGCCCAGATTTCGTCCCTGCCTACTGTAACTACCACCATTATTTGATCTAACAGGAAAAGATGATGAAGAAAAAAAATATATATATTCTTTCCCTTTATAGAAGGTAAAATTTGGTTTCGTGGCTACCTTTGTTCCATCCAGAACAACATCCTTTCTGATAGAGGCTCCCGAGTTGTTTTTTTTACTCTTCTTTTCTAGGTCTTCATTTCCACCCAGTCCATCAGTCACCTCCTCGTTCTGCTGTAACCGACCCGCTACGCTGACCGCGCAGTCAAGACGAGGCTCTTCCCAAGCTCGACAGAAGATCGCAAAGATGAAGAGGGCCTACTTGTGTGAGAAGGAAAGAGAGGTACAATGCAGACTGAGAAGCTTGCTGTAGCTTTCAGGACAGACTCCAGTATTTCTGGGAGTGTATTCTTTAGCTAGGAAGTCCCCCTCTTTGGTAGCATGCTTTGGTAGCATGCCAAGTGGCATTGGTACAGGCTGTTTTTGCACTTCTCCATTTATTTTGGAGTGTCATAAACTAATCAACTTTTCCTCACGTTCATCAAACCCCACCACGTCTAGTCCCTTCAGAATACTGCATTCTGGGTATATTTACCACCAACGAGCTACCTATTTAGCACCTGACCTTGCGTATGTTTAGTCCTGAAGTGCACTTAACTACAGAATGGGCTTTGCAGAGGCTCTTTCACAAACAGTTAGGAAATTTGCCATCTGGAAGTTTTCCCTTAGCTATTTCTCTAGGCTGTTCATTGGTATCCTTCTACCTTCAGCAGTTACCACCTTACAACCCCTTATTGTAATGTGAAATCATTCATGCTTCCTTCCCACCACTCCCTGCAGAGGGGGACTGAGGCCAAATTCGTGTCAGGAGCTAAGGCAGCAAACGTTAACAGTGCACAGACTGACACCCTCTGTACTTAAAGCTGTTTCGCCCTAGTGCAGCAGGTAAAAGTACCTTTTCAGCTCAGCTGCAACTCAGCTGCACCACTTTTGTAAAAGCCACTCCTGGCACAGCTAACAGAACCATGGTTTAGTTTGCTTTGGCATTGGATAGAGTTCAGATGCAGTTTTATTCCGGTCGTCTGTTTACCAAGTTATCTAACATGATTTTGAATAGTTTTAATAGTTTGAATCTGACGTGATCCTTATTGCTGTGCTTTTCTAACTATACATGCTACTATACAGGCACAGAAACCGGGTATTAAAAAGGGGAGCAACTTTGCTGGGCATCAAGAAATGACACTGTCACCGGTTGAAAGGCCTGAGGATCAGTCTCTTCTTATAGAAGAAGAATGGGAACATGAAGCAGCCACACTGTATGCTTGGTCCCAGGCATTATCTCTTGAGGATGTTGGATGATTTTCATGTGTAGGTAATGTAAAAAAATCTTCAAAAGTTACAGCACTGGGGAGTGACTAAACTTTTTAGTCATTTGAATGTCTTTGGTCCTGCTTTGAACAGACTGCAAATATAAAAGCATGGCTTCCTACACCTACACCAAGTTTAGCAAGGTATATATATTCATTGTAATTTTTTTTTCACTGTGGAAATCTAAAATAAAAACAACTTTGCACTGCAAAGCTAGGACAAAACTAACACTGAGCATGTGTGGTAACGATTTAAGGTTCAGAACTTCTTGGAAGTTAGGCTACTTTAACAGCTGAGCATTGGGAAGCTTGTACTATTTCTTCGGTTACAATGTTTAGTTTGTTTAGGTTAGGCCTTACTTATAGAGTTATGCCTTAGGCCCTTGCATTTTAGTACCAAACCAAAAGTCAGTTAAAGTCAGCTGACTTCCCAAAGTCAGCTAAAAGCTTCCACTTGGGTTGTTGATAACTTGAGCAACTCCAAGCAGTAAGGTGATGTGGTTTTGTTGTTGTTTTTTTAATTAAAATCTATAGTTCAGGTAATCGTCACCATCTGATTTTTCTAACAGCATATTTCTTTTCAGTGTTCTGGATAATGTGTCAGGAGAAGAAGTAAAGGAAAAAGATATCACTTGCCAATAGGAAATAGTTCCAGATTGCAATAGATAAATAGAATCAGGAAAAGGGTTTTGCACTCTAAAATGGCTCTTGAAACTTGACAAGCTTTTAACATTCTGCCAACAAAACACTGAGCAGCCTAACAAAATAGCAAAACAAGTTCCTGCTTTCCAAGAGTGACAAACAAGGCTATCACTACAGCAGAGCTGCAGTAAGTGCTTATGCTGTGCCTTACGCTGGCACCAGCACCCCTCTCATGGACACAGCTCCATACGTTTTGTACAGCTTCTGAAATCTGGAAAGAGAAGCAGAGAAGAGCAATATATTGACCGTCTTTATTTTTTTCTCTGAGATTAAAGAAGCTAAAGAAAAATGCAGCACATAAGAAAAATCTTTGGTTTCAGTTGGCATCATTCAATTCTATTGACAAAGAAGAGATAGTGAAATCTGGATAGCACTTTCCTCAGGAGTATCCAAATACTTAAAACAGGCTCATAACACACAACAGAATGTGGTATCTCTGAGCACTAAGGGCTACCCAAGGGACTTTTTACAGTGCCTCTCCTAGGACCTAAAGTAATAAACCACAGGAGATAGAAGATTCTTGCACAAAAGAACTAGGTGGGTGGGTTAACTCCAACTTGTGAGATGAACTATACTGGGGGGGGAAAATAAATAAATAACATAGTATTTAGAATATGTGTCAGGATATACTGGAAATGAGTGTGAGAAAGGAGGCTGCCAGTAAGACAACATCATCTATGTGGTAAAACTGGGTAATGTAATTAAATAATATTAAATATAAAATTGAATAAGGCAATAACTAATAGAACTATGTATTTCACTAGGAAAAAAAAAATTACTCAGCAACATTTATCCATAAGTTGCGTGAGTTTTTTTATAAAGGGAGACCTCATCACAAGCCATGCTTGACAGGGCTACAGAGCGCTTCCTTAGGTGCTCCGCGTGCTACGGAGGGTGGAGGCAGGAGGCCGGGCCCCCAGCAGGACACGGGCGAGGGCAGCACTACTCTGATGAACAAACATTGAAAAAATCTGTAAAACTTAACAGGCCAGAACAAGGGCATGGGGAAACAGCTGTCAACAAGCACGTTACAAGCTCAGGCTGCACCCAGTTAATAAGAATGTGAAATACTGAAAGCAGGAGTCTGCCATTCCCATCACAAGCACACAAGCCGAGCGATCACAAATAAGTGAACTGTTGCCAAAAACAAGGACAGATATTCCAGAAAGGAGAAGTATATGGCCCAAGCAACCATGAACCGCTTGATCTGAATGCTCAGTCCTGTGGAGCTGCAGAACCCTTATCCGGGCTTCCCAATCAACTGGGAAGGTGCTAAGGAACCGGCGATGCCGGCCTGCCTAACGTCACCACACAAGGGTGGCCTGTTTCACAAAAAGGGACCCTAAGAAGGTGAATAAAGCCAATTGCCAAAGTGAAGAGACTGCTGTCGTCACCTCTTCCACCATAGCTAAGTCTAATGCATTTGGTCTCCCTTTGAACTGAACTATGGGGACACATCACCCTCCGGGAGGCTCTTTCTCCAGCCATGTATTCCAGCAGGACCAACACAAATGCAGCTGCAGGTATCTTTCATTAAATATATATATATACACATATATTGCAGGGTGAAGTCAAGTTAGCAAAGAGGATGAAAGAGTGACTTTGTACAAATATTATTTAAAATCATTTTCAATATTAAAATAAAAATCAATAGCTATTTTAAAGCATAAGATTAGAAAGAAATGAAACAATCATAGCTATTTTCAAGCATTCCCCATAGCAGGTCTTTATACCAGAGATTTTGATTTGACAGTGAGAAATTGTTGAAAAACAGTGGCAGACAAAAGGAAAAACGTATGAAGGAGGTTTTCATCAGACTGCTCAAGAAAGTAAGCGAATATCACAACCTCCTGTTCTATGTTGTTTTCCTCTTCGTACCATAATCTGAGATAGTAAATGCACCTGGTTCTTGTCGCAGAGGTTAAACTAGTGGCCTAGATGCCTGGCACCTGGAAGCCCAAGTGTGTGATAAACATTTGTGGTCTGAGAGCCCCCTGTTCCATGGCGTTGGATAGCTACGAGCCGACTCTCGCGAACTCTGACAGGCAAAGGATGCCTTCAGTCTACAGATTTATCATTTAAATGTATGTCGTGATGTTAATTTAACTATGAAGTCAACCCAGAATATTATTTCATGCTTGAAATACAGAGTAGGCACATGAATAGAGTAGGCACCAGTGCAATGGAAACGAGGAAGGTTGTAAGATACAGCGCAAAGTAAAAGCTTGATGCTACCCAAGGACTTCCAGCAGCTCCTGCTGGGATATCCTTAACATTCTGCACGAGGCAGTAACAAGGCACGTACTGTTAACCGAGCGCTACGAATTAAACGGAACGGCTCTGATCATTTCCTTAACCAGCTGCACTTTTAAGTCCTGCAGAATGTTATTCTGGGACCCCACACTTAAGTATCACATAGCTCACACAAGAATATTTAAAGATTAAAAATATTTTATTTACACTTTTCTTTATACACTTTATACATTTTTCCAGTTTAAAAACAGAGCAGAGCACATATGCAAGTCTGAACATACTATACCCATAGCGAGGAAAAATTACCTTCTGCCAAAAAAACAAGAAAAAAAGCTTTTAAAAACAGTTAAAAGAGGCTATTCTTAAATTATTAGAAGAATTTTATAGCAGCCCTGGGGTAGTCAGAGTATTAATTCAAAATGTACACATGAGGTCATATATACATATATATGTAATTCTAGCTTTAAATAGGAGAAGTCTTTCCAATTGCTAGACACAAGCACAGCCGAGTTTGGAAACAGCTTTTCCCGTTCACTTATCAAATACATTCTTTTCAACACAGTCGGATACCGCACACTGGCAAGCAGTGGGAGACTAGAGTGGAATTGCATTCTTCGGCACACAGTATTTTTAAAAATCTACAAAAATAACAGTATATAGGGGGAAGTATTTAAAATAAAAAGGAGACTCGCGCTTCCCTCCATCTGTTCCCATAACTAGCAGGGAAGTTACGTGGGTTTCACGGAGTTAATAATGATGATAATATCCCTACACAGAGCTTGCTTTTCAGGTGCATGTAACGCGGTGCTTTCTAGAATTACACAGCGGTGTTTCCTACCAGAGCCATACATAAAAAGCCATCACTTGCAACTAGAAAGCAGTGTTCCCTTAGGTACCAGTTTAGTATTAATCCAGAAGATGTTTGAAATTGACTCTTCAACGTTACTTTAAAAGACTATGGAAACACAGTCTGAAATTTGGGAAATGCTAAACTTAATCCCAAGTGGGAAGCCAGGGAAGCTGTGCCCAGAATCCACCTGCTAGCATGACTGCATCTCTATGAGACTCCCCTCAAAAACGGAACCCCTGAGGTTCTTACCAACCCTCAGAAGCAGCACGTGGGTGCGGGAGTACTCCTTGCCATTCATTTTGGGCAGCTTTGTACCGTTTTGCAAGCGCTCCGAGACCGGCGCGCCCGCTCCGGCCCACGGGCTCGCTCCGTTTGCACAGATGGCCGCGCGCTCCCGCTGGCGCTCCGTGCCTCGCCGCGCGCTGCCGCCTCTACTGCACACACGCACCCAGGGAATTCCCACGCTGTGTTACACGGAGGAGGGTGGGACGGATGCTTTCCTTGGTGCCCCAGCCCTGTGAGTGCTGAAGCACGGGCTTAGTAACAGTGCTGTTATCTTTGTTTTCTTCCAAGCACCTTCTCTAGCCTTCCCTTTCCTTCACGGTCCTTTATTGGGACTGTTCACAAATGTGAGCTATGTATTTGAAGTGTTAGGACAACCAGTTCATTACTTACAGCTTATTAAGGAAAAACATTTCATTAAAAGTCAAAATTTCTCCAAAAATGTAATTATTTCCACCTGTATAAAGACTCTGTCATTTATAAAACAGACACCAAAGTTTTTCATTTTTTAAAAGGGCCATTAGCATTTCTCTAAAATGCTTAACATTTTGCAAAAGAAAGAACATAATGGGTCAAATAATGAAGAAGAGAAAATCCTTAATTTCTCTTCTTTTAATTTCTACATGCTGAATTTCGTGCTTTGCTTCCCAAGGGTCACATAAAGCTTCACCCCGATGCAAGTATTTATTATATATTATTATCAGCAGGAAAAAAAAAATACAGGCAGCATTTGTATTTTGAAAGCAGGAGGCCCTTGGGGAAAAAAACAGCTGCAAATCTCAGAGGTCTGAGAAAAGCTCGAGGCCCCAAACCTCAGAATCGGTCAGAAGGGGAGGGCTGCTGCAGCGCAGAGACGGGGGAGCCGCGAGGAGCCGGCGACCTGCCCGGCCGCCGCGGCGCCTTCTGAGCCAGGGCTCCCTGGCAAAACCACGGCCCGGCCTCCCCCTGCCACCTCCACAGCGACCAGACGGGCCAAGTTCTTTTTTTGGGGTCATCTAATACCTCCCACTACGAAACTGCCGTCAAGACTGTAAGGGGTGGAAGGGGAGGATGGACACACTTTTTTCTTTATGTAGCACCAAAGAAAATATAAATAAATATATATATATATATGGCCCATGAAAACCCATGCAGCAGCACACTGTATGGAACCGGCAGCGTTCAAGCTCTTTACAGGAACTCTGGAGTCTCTTGGCCATTCTGTTTTATATGAATGCGGGTTTCCTTCCCACACTAGCTGCAAAAACTAGACATGGACCTGAGAAATTTTACAATAAATGTTAAAAAAGAAAAAATAGAGCTTAATTTGTACCTCACTATGTTCACCCTTTAAAGGAAAGTCAAGTACACCTCCTGTCTAAAAGCAGGTGACACGCTAAATATGTGAGATTAGGATTTCTGATACTAAGAAGCAATAGAAGAAGAAGAAGAAAAAAAAATATTAATCACAGATTATGACCTACCTATTCCCTGATGGATGAGACACATTTGGATGATTTTAAAACTCACCCTATTTTAACCTGATCACCACGTTTCAAATTTGCAATAGGGGGTTCTTATTTGCTGACCTTGTTTTCTAAAGCTCAGGGGCAATGGAGGAGAACATCAGCTCATTTTACATTGGGCACCGGACACAGTAACAGCAAGGTAGAAACGTAACTTAACGAAACATCCTCACCCACCCGGCCCCACCAAGTGAATTCCAATGGCTCCCCGTGCTCGGAAGGCTGCAGCCAGCTTTTCAATGGAGACACCACCTCAGCGAGGCTGAAACCAACACTGCCAGTTCAAACATCACAGAGTAACTACCATCATAAGCCAGAAGACCTTACAGAACTGCATGCCCGAAGCTGAGTAAATGAGCTTCCAAGTGGAGCACTTGAAAGCGCCCTGGGTTCTTCACGTCCCATCTGACGTTGATGTCAATACTCGCCAGTGACTTAGGTGGCAGATGCTGAGCGTTCACCGCTTCAGCAGGTGCATTTGAAATGCAGAGCCAGAAACGTAACGCAGACACCCCTGTCCTCACCATTATTTTTTAATAAAGTCTTGGTCATCAATCTCTACACCTGAATTGTGGCAGCCCAGATTTCCAGACCTGCATCCTTTGCCCAGACTGACCCTACATGGAAACAGTGAAGAGCTCCCTCCTGTTCCTACCAGGCCAAGAAAAGCCTGCTTAGGCGGGATTAGTCTGCACTCCCCCATAAGCTTATTAAGAACAGATTAGTCACAAATGGATAAAAACAGTAAAAATGGTTGTTTTTCCCCTTGCGTCCCAATTCCCCGGGAGCTCTGCACAGTAAAATCCTCTTCCCTGCACGTGGCAGGAGCAGGGGGAGCCAGTTCATGTCTGCACATTAACCCACACCCAGGGCTCTCCGTGAAACCGAGCTCTTGGTCAAGCCAAGACGACTGCAGGCTAGGTTAAGTCAATGAAAAAGTACACTGAATTTCTTATTCAGTGAAGTGAATGGTGATGAGGAAGCACTTAACTGTAACTGCAAGATTCAGCCTGCATCCCAAGGATGACGATCCCTATCTGCTCCAGCCGCTACTGGCGCAGAGAGCTCCTTGCTGCAGCTCTGATGGGCGACACGCTCACCGTTACAACTTCCACAAAGAAAACACCCATCAGTCTTTCCTGCTGAAAACCATTCTGCTCATCTGCCACATCCTCAGGGCTCAGCCTGAAACATAATTCCTACAAAGACACCATGAGATGCAAGTATAAGGAGTTTAAAGCATCCTTTTAACTTCTATGGAATATTTCAAACAGGGTTTCGGCAGGTAGGTATTTTTAGCATAGGAAATTTGGGATGAGTTTGGTCCCCATGTAAGTGCATTCTTTCGAAGTCCCTGAGTGCTACACATTCCCTTCCTGCTGAGCGCAGTGGCCTTGCACGGCTGCATACAACGCCTGTTGATGAAAGCAAAACACAGCAGCCTAAGATCTCACCAAACAGGCAGCTGCCTATTGCAGCATTCTGTCCCCACGCACCTAAACCAAGCGTGAGCCTGCAGCTTCCCCACGTCTCCCTTTCAGATTCCACAAGGGGCTAACTTCGTATCTTTAAAGAAAACTAAGAGTGTGAATAACTCACTTCTAGCATTACTTGTATCTGGGCAGATATTCTCCCCATTCCACCGCCAAGACACTCTGCAAGTTGCCACAAGGCAGTTGCTAAACTGGACAAGCCAAGCTCAGTGCAGGGACTCGGATCAGTAGATGCAGTTGTGCAGGGTTTGGGTTTTTTTGTAAAAGAAACATAAATGGCACAAAACATCCAACCATCCAACACCACATTTACGAAACACAGTAGTTCTACAGCAGTCGGTAGTTAAAAAAAGAAAAAATCTATATATACACATATACACCACTTCAATACCAGCAAAATCTCTGCTGAGAATAAATTATAATATACTCGACCTTCAAAAAAACTGTGGGTCAAAGCAGTAGTCAGTATTTACTTATTGACATTTTCAATTTCCATTAAAAAAAAAGGGCAGCACATTCAAAAAGTAAAAGAAATTCAGGTAAGATATATTTACTTTAAAAAAAAATATATAAAATAACAAATTATCAACAGTTCATTACATAGCATCAATATAGCATTCAAAGTTACTGAATCAATCAGTATATGCTAAAGATAAGATACTTTGTTACCAAACGAGGCCTCTAGTCACTTAAGAATTTTTAATTATTTAGCTCATTAAAGGATAATACTATACCTAAAATTCAACAGATATGGCTGAATCTGTGCACTAGTTAAAATATAATAGCCTAACTGCACATAAAAAGATGCATTTATATAGAGACTTTACAGTGTATGCATGTGTGTGCATATATTTTACCACCAACAAACACAATGCAGACAATAGAAGGCAGCATAGAAATAGTGTTTTGAATATAAAAATGTTTCATTTTTGATTTAGTAGAAAATGTATAATTTGCATTTTGGCTGACTTACTGGTCCTACTATACAAAACCAGGGAAAAAACGCATGCAAAGGCCTTAAGATTATCCTCACATGTTTCTTAAGGGAAAACAAAAACGCCCAGTAGAACTGAGAATACCTGGCAATTAATGGGAAAAGTTTCCAAAGAGGGCATAAAATACCATTTAGTTTTGTTCCTTTAAGTCTGCTTGCACCTAGGTACAGCTCATGAGTTCTAATTTCTTTTTTTTTCCCCTTTTCATTTCCTTTTTTTTAATTGAGAATCAAAGTCCTTCTTTTCCTTCCACAGATCCTCTTAACGATTTCACAAGTGGAGTGATGCAGGGGCTGGGCAGAGAAAAGGAGGAAAAAAGAAAACAAGTACTTAAATGCTACCAAAAAATAATCACACTGAAAAAAAAATAGGTATTTTTCTTCCTGCTACTTACAATTGTTTGTAAAAATCAAAGAAGCAAAGCAAGACAAGAGAAGACACCGTGAGGCTCCTGGCTTTTGCGGCAGCCCGCTCTAGCTGCAGCGCCGCACGTGCTCCAGCACGTACTCGGGGAAGTGCAGGCTGCACACCTGCAGCCCGTCCAGCTTGCACGGCATCCTGGGGTACTCGTCCTCCTTCCACTTGTTCTCCTCCGGATCGAAGGTGAGGATGGAATCGCTGTAGTGCCCGTTGTAGCAGAGGCCGCCGAGCACCATGATCTGCCTGTCGAGCACGGCCACGCCGTGGCCGCTCCTCCCGATGGGCATGGAGGCCAGGATGGTCCACTGGTCGGCGTCCGGGTCGTACACCTCCGTGGAGGGGCACCCCTGAGACTCAAAGGAGGCCCTCAGGATCACGCAGACGCCACCAAACACGTAGAGCTTCCCGTTGTAGGAAATCATCTTGTGGAAGCACCGCGCGTAATTCATCTTGCATTTGTTCTCCCAGCAGTTGGTGACCACCTGCGTCCTCCTCGTGCGCTGCTCCACCGTCCCTTCCTTACTGGGGTCAAAGACACACACTTGCTTCGAAGTCGAAGAGGACGTGATGCCCCCGGTGATGTACAGCTTGTTCCCAAGCACAGTCCCCTCGTGTCCGTATTTATTGACCGGGTAAGGATCCACAAACTCCCACTTATCCTCAGTGATATCGTAGCGCTCCGTCGAGTAGAACGTTTCGTCCCGCGTCCTGCCCGCCACGGCGTACACGTACCTGCCGATGACGCCGACGGCGAACTCGGAGCGCGGCACGGACATGTCGGCCATGCGGAGCCACGCGTTCTGCCGTGGGTCGTAGCGGAACACTTTGGACGAGGCGTGAAACTCCCCGTCGGGCCCCAGCTCCTCGCCGCCCAGCAGGAACACAAAGTTGTTCACAATGGCCAGGCAGTCGGGCCGCAAAGGGACCTGGGGACCTTCTAGTTCCCACCAGACCCGGGGCTTGTGCAGGAGGAGAATTTTGCTGTTCACCATGCTGTGGCCTATCATTCCTCTGAACACGGCAGTCTGCGGCTTGGCGGAACGGATTTTGTTCGATTTCATTTCCATCAGGGGCTGCTGGTGAACGCTATGGAAGTAATTCATGGCTTGGTCAACCTCGTGTCGCAGCTGCCGGGAGTACCGGTAAAACTCGGAGGTTTTTACCTACGAATACATTTAAAAGATATTAAAATGCTGACCAAGAGAAACAACCCAGAATAACCTAAATGCATATGTGTCATTAAAGGGTTATTACACTTAGTTTCGTGCAGATGAGCTTTGAGGACAGCTGCTTTTGTGCTCGGATGGTCAAGCTAAACTACACCGATGCACGATGCAGAGGGCTCCCCCGTGACTGGCGGCAGGAGCTCCCGGTTCAGCTAGACACTCACACGCAGCATGAAGCAGGGGTCAGGCACGACTGAAATTCCCAAGGCCAAAACCATTATTCCTTCTCCCCCCAAAAGACTGCTCATCTTCTGCTTAACCCACAAGGCATTTACATTAAAAATGCACTACTACCCACGCTCGGAAAAATATCGTTGCCTGGATGCCACCTGTGCCCCGTGCTCTGGGTGTCCCTGCTGGAGCATGGGGGTTGGACTGGATGGTCTCTGGAGGTCCCTTCCAACCTCAACCATCCTGTGAGTCTGTGATCTAGGTGCTTATTCCAGGTTCACCAAGGTCTGCTCTGGCCTGCTGAATTCTCGCAGTGAAGACCAAGCAGGAATTCCCAAGCTTGCTTCACTGGGGAGGAGAGAGGAAGGAGAGCGCCCGGGGTCCTTCCTTCAGGGCAGGGGACTGCGTTAAATGCTGAGCACGAGGGCTGTTACCTCGGGCATCCCCACAGCCTGCAGCCCACCCTTGGCCAAGGGGGAACACTGCACGCGCTGCCCCGTTTTGTTGGCGTCTCGCAAAGGGCAGGTTTGACCCCCCACTTCCCAGCGACCATCCTTGAGCTGCCCTGCAACAAGGGAGCGCCTGCCCTCTCGCCCCGTCTCGCAACCCAGAACGAGTTAACCATGCTCAGTTTTGTAAAATAATGCCTAAGATTCTACCTTTTGGGCACCCTTCTTACTCTCCAAACTAATCTGAGTTTCTGAAACAGGTCCCGAGATGATTCAAAAACCGACAGCGAACGTTTTCATGTAGGTAACGCCAAGCAGCAGCCCCCACTCCAGAGTGAGTCACTCTGCCCATGCAAGAAGTGTAGGTGTCTACTGTAGCATTCCCAATTACACTTCCAAAACAAAACCTCCAGCTGCTGCTATCCCCCCAAACCCATCATCGGGTTTCATAATGAGCCTCAACACTTTCCCCACAAAACTGGGCTGCTTTCAAATGCTCCAAACGCTTTTAATTGCGAGCAGCTCCAAACAAGGGCGTAGCGCTCTGGGGCAGAAACGTGAGGCCTCTCCTGCATTTCAAGGAGAGGCCGGACCCGCGAGCAAACACCTGCAACTTCTGCCCGCCGTGGGCTCCTGTGCCCTTTCCCAACGGGCAAGGCCTGCAGCAGCCCGGACACAGCTCAAGGTTCGCACACACGTACGGAGCAACCAGGAGACACGTGGCCCTTACGCTTGGCGAATAAAGCAGTTGCTTGTTCCATACACAGAGTTGCATTCCGGTTCTGCCGGCCTTCGGCTAATCATTTCTCTTTGAAAGTTACAATGAGTCAGTGTTTTTATTGAAAAAAAATGCACCTTTAAAATGGAAAAAATAGCCAAACATCCTGCGTAAGGAGTAACTTTTGATCTGTAGCTTTTACAATCCTAAAAAAATCCAGAGAGAGATTCATAGAAGCCATTGTATGAGATACGCCCTCACACATTAATTATGACGTGGTCTTTAATCACTTGCTCTCTTCAGGTTCATAAATTCAACTCATCTTTGCTTTGTGAATTATTTTCAGGATAATACTCCGCTTTTTTATACTCTGCTGATCAGGGGCAAAAAGTTTACCTCAGTATAATGCTTATAAGATATGTATGCTAAGCCCAGCTCTTCCAGAGAATAAAAGATTTATGTTGCCATCACAAACGGGGAGGAAAGCCCTGCAGATCTGCTTATGCGGCAGGAGAAGCGCCACAGCAGGGGTTTTCCTGTGCTAGAGTAATCCCTGTACATCGCCTGCCTGGAAAGACTGAACATTAATGCCAAAAAACATGCAGAGGGGAAAAAAGAAGAAACCACATCAGTGTTTATGTCGTTCCTTTTTTTCCCCCCAATTCTTTTAAAGTTTACTAAAAAAGAGAATTAAACTACGCAAGTGAGAACGATGTGAGGCACTGTGAGCGGGCGCCCTTGTCCTCCCCACGCGCGCTGCAGGCCCAGGAGGGCGGCAGCGGGCCGGGCCTCGGCGCCCCAGGGCAGCTCCCGCGCCGCGCCGCGGGCGCCTCTCCCTCCCCGCACTCGGCTCCTCCGCTCCAGCTGCAGCCGAGGCCGGCGCTGCAGCTGCGCAACGCGCGGCGCTTCCCTCCCGCACGAGCCCGGCGCAGCTCGAGGCCGGAGCTCTGCGCCGCTCGCATGAGGGCAACGACCAAGCAGAGCCGCCACCTCCTGCCCTGAACCCGGCGCCCCGAAGGGCAGCGGCTGCTCGGCAGGAGGACAAGGACAAGGCCCAGGGAGGAAGGCTGCACCTTCACCTGTATCTCCACACGACCTCCCACCACTACCTGAACACCCTGTCCCTAAGGAAAAGCCTCGGCACACCCACCCTTTGGAATAATTTTACCAGGGTTTTAATTTCTCATGTCTATAATCAGGAAGGAGGCTTTAAATTCACGTATTTAAGCACAGCCTTAACTAAGCTATACATATCCTTTAACTTTAATAGATTAAAGAGCATGGCCCACAGCAAACCTTTTGTGGGAACAGCTGTCTGATACCCCAAACAAGCCAAAGGAAGTCTCTCAGCTTATAAAGGTAGGCTCTGCCACCACCAGTAAGTAGCAACAAGTAGCAGTAGAGTAGTAAACATCTAAGTGGTTGCCAGCAGAGCCAATTTTACTGTAAATTAACACAAATGATTCTAAAAGGCACATTCTCCTAATAACCAAGGTGCTAAGCCACAAAGAACGCTCACAAGTTTGTGCAAAACACTTCAAAGGCAGAAACGTGTCATAAACGTGGTGAATGCTGGAGTACAGCAAATATGCACGGGTGAAGAGGAGCAGAATGCCAGTGCTTCACAACATTCTCAAAGTCAGAACTGTTTAACCCCCACCTTTATTCTAAGACAAAGGATACTAACCCCCGGGTTAGTATCCTTTAGTATCCAAGGGTGCCTAGTTTTGAAGCCTCCCACACTGACGCATACCTGCCCACAGCCCGCCTCAGTTTCCCAGCTAAAACCCCCGCCCGGGGGTCTGTGGGGCCGCTGCACTCACGCAGGGCCTGCCCAGGGAGCCGTGGGGGGCAGCACCTTGGGGTGGCGCTCGGGAACCCGCCAGCGCGCCCGGCCACAGGGAGCCGCTCGGCTACGCGCGCAGAACCCAACTGCAGCACCAAGGCGGTGCCTTAAAATAAAGCTTAGAGACCCTCCGAACCCACCTCCCGAGCGGCCAACACCACAAAGGCTGGTAACGGCCTTTGGGGATCCTACCAAAGTCAAGAGCATCCCTCCAGCCACAGTAAACTGACTGCACCTCCTCCGCTTCATTTTGTACCAGTGAAGAAAAAAAAAAACAGGAAAAATCCCTGACTTCCCAAAATCAAGAGACTATCACTGCCTATTTTCCTGCTGCATTGCAAAGGAGGCTTTTCCAGTCACAGCAGCTAGACAAGTTTAAGATATTTTCATCTACAGTCTAAGAAAAAAAGCCAAAATGTAAGCCTCTATATTTCTAATTTGAAAATAAATGATCCCCATATGCATCTCATGTTTTCTTCAGGAAAACATTTCCTCTTCATTTTTTTCCTCACATTTTCTTTTGCTATAAAAACTATGCAAATGCAGTAGGAGGAAGTGGGTGAACTGCAAGGAGGTTTTCTGTAACAGAAGTTCATCTTCAGGGTGTAGCTAAGCTTCCCCCCCCGCAACTGTTTGCAGCAACTGCTTTGCTTTTGTTTCTTCCTCTTTTAGGACAAAAAAGTAAGTTTCAAAACTGTGCAGCAAAAATACCTTGAAGCACCTGACTATTATCTGCAAACCTGTAGCTAAATCTTGACGTGTGATAGTTGAGGGTAGCTACGCGAGCCTGACTCCTACTGCAGGACTAAAAAATACAGCACAAAAAACCCTGTGTGCCCTCAAAGTGACCTGTCTTTAGCCACATAAGAAGTGGCCACATAAGTATTCCAAAGGTTATGAAAATGTGCTTACTTTTAGTTTTTTAAAGCAGCTAATTCTGAATGGATGAGTGATTCAATGACAACTCCAAGAGGGACACAGAAGCCGTGCAGGTCACGTTAAGTGGGTAAACACAAATTGTATCCGAGCTGTTGAGAGCTAATCGCTCCTTTTCCTTGGGCAGGGGCCACTGGATTTTACTGCAGATTAATTGCAGTCAAAAGCCTAGATCCATCAACCCTGCAAAACGGGGTCTGTATTATTTCCACACATACATATCTCTGGGCAGACCCTAAATAAGCCTGACAGCAAACACGACAATTTTAAACATGCTTATTCCAAATCAAAATCAAATACCTAAAGTGACACATATGCCTCCAAAATAACAGCAACCTAAACTACCTTGTAACCAAGCATCAAGCTACTGTACCTAACAGTCAATATAGGGAAAAAAGGAAAATCATTTTTTTTAATTTAGATCTTTATTCACTCATATCCCTTGGCCACTAAGAAATCAGTCAGTACCTTTGAATATTTTGCAAGCCGTACAAATCGCTTACTGTTTTTCAGCTTCACTAGAGAAAGACAAGATAAAGGAAGGGACCGACTCTGCAGCAAGAACTACACCATCAAACTGAGTGCTCTGACATAGTTTCTAAATAGGAATAGCAAGAGAAATATCAAGAAATTATCAAAAATCAAGCTGTATTCTAACTGCAGAGAGCTCTCAAATCAGGGTGGAGCCAACAATCTGTATGCCAAAATTGAGGCATTCTGCACAGATTTACCAGAAGCATTTTTAAGTCAGCAATGACTGTCAGACAGAAGAATGTCACGAGCAGCCCCTGCAGATAAGGCAAGGAAGAATCTACCAGCCTCATCCACTAGACACTCCTTCGTCAGAGCTTTAGAATAAGGTTTTAGAAAAATATTTTGTGTGTGAATTATTAGACATTTCAGTTTAAAAAAAAAAAGAGAGAAAATCAAAAAGATACAAGCATGATGACAAAATTACAATGCCATCTTCTCAAATATGGGTTTCTGGACACAGAGAGCAATACAATGCACAAAGCTGGACTGTCTAATGTGATATTTGTCCTATCTCTAAAGACAAGCTTATGCACTCAGTAATATCAAAGTTTTTATTTTAAACTGGAAGTTTATCAGGCAGCAGGGAATAGTCATAACAAACCCTGCAGCCTGGACATTGGGAAAATCTTCCCAATTTTAAGGGGAGAGCAGTTCCAAAACAACATTTTGATTATAGTAGTGAAAAAAAAAATGAATGGATCTTCATCAGTATGTGAAAACAAATCCCAACATCATCACCTGCAACAGGGGGATTCAGGGAGCTCACTGACCTCATTAAATTTCCCTTCAATTTTCCTTGTGACTTACAGAGCTGTCCCCAATACAGCTACATGGTGTAGACATATACAGTGGAAGTTGTGTTTCTCCATGTGCCCTTCTCCTTTATTTCTTCTCCTTTATTTTTCACCATTCCCCAAAACCTTATCCCATCTATCCTATTATTTTCCCCCAAGCATCTATGTTAGCAGCTGAATAACAGCAGTCCCTATTGGTACTTCAGAGGCAGCCGTTAGACAGAGCAAGCAGGCAGGCTACGTTTGCTTTTGTGCACCCCACAGCATGTCAGGCTTGAGGTACCAACCCCAAGTCACTCAATTCCTTTTCACATGCAAACCCAGCTCTCTATGGCTACAAGCCTGTTTGAGAAAGAAACTGAGGAAGGAAGAAAAAGAAAGGCTTAAAAGGCCAAGAGACTCCTTACTGCCACTTGCAAAATTAAATAAGTTATTTATACACTACGACAGGCATCTCAGAAACGCGTATCAGCGAGATTACATAAGAGTGCAGATGACAAGTGAGTGTACAGCTAATACTGAGTTCCCTGAACCAGAAGAGTCAGCCTCGGAGTATTTTTGGTACTCGCAGGAGTTTACCCTTTGCTAGCTGCAAGAGAAGGGTGGGATGGTGCCCGAGGATCTCCAAGAGAACAGTTATTGATATTTTCCCCCCTTCTCCACACAGACAGTTGTTGCCCTTCAAGCTCCCACTGGTTAACAGCTGCACCCTGCTATTGCAAGGTACGAGGCCAGTACTCTTAGGTTAGCTCCGAACTTTGCACGCGGCGTGCTGAATCCCTCAGTGCTTTCGAGCTGTGTCCTAAAACGAGCTCATCTCCCGCTGCGGTGACAAGCGGCGCTCACGGAGCGCTGCTCCCCCACGCTGAGCCTCCCGAGCTCGGGGCCGCTCCAGAAACCGCGCTGGCTTCTCCCTCCTGCCACGTACAGTTAACGGACAGGCTGTCGGGCAGTTACGTAAGCTCGGATGCTGAAAACACCCTCTCTCCTAGTGTTGTACTCGTGGGGTCGTTTGGTAGGTGCCAGGATCAAAAGTGAAAAGTCAAACACAGGTATCACACATCACTGATGACAAAACCAGCTCCCGAAGTCACACCTACAATATAATCTCGAAGATCAACATCACTTTTCACTCCCATTTACAGAGATTTCAGTGAAAGCGACTTGGAACACGAACCCCCCAAACTCAGGGGAGTGGAAGTAGCCTATTTCACACAGATATTATCTTACTTGACTGCCTTTAAGGAAGAACACTTGGTGAATCCTATCCATTTCCCTACTGAAGGCCTTAGATTACATAAGAAAGGCTTTATTAAAAAGACATTACATAGGACATTGCAGAGTTTGGCTCTTACTAGTCAGAAATGAATTAACGGAATGTAAAGATTACATCACTGTTTTAAAACATACTTAGGTCATTATTTATCTACAAGCTAATATAGGAAAATATATTGTATGTATGATTTCCTGTATTCAATTCAGACCCCCAAAAAAGTTAAAAAAGCATTAATCTCTGAATTAATGAATAACTTTTATGATTTAAAATACAAATAAGCACAAACTAATAGCCACTAAGACCACTAATAGCAATACAATCTTATCTGTATATTCACTACAAACCAAAGGAAAAAAACATATGGAAAATTAATTTAAGAAGCCCAACAAAAACATAGATACTTAAATCCTATTAATTCAATGACAGGTCAAAAATACAAAAGTTAATGTTACATCTGATGACACAAAATCAGTAAAACAAACAGGACAAATGAAAGAATTACCAATTTGAATGCCTCTACTGTACTAGCCTGCAAGAGAGCTGCTTATGCATTTTGCAGTTCTCGACTGTTGACAAATACTCTGGGCTTCTCAGGAGCTAGGAAACATCATGTTTTTTTCCTGCTTTTCAACAGAACGGCACAAATGGCAAATTCTCCTTTAACCTCTTAACCCATACATCAGTTGAATATTATATCACATGTTGAAGAGATCTCTTTGGTATTTTGTAAGTGATTACACCTTGCACTGCTAATGTGATTGCACTACATGCCAGGCGCAAGATCAAGTTACGAGCGTACCTGCAAGCTCGGGGCTCGCTTCCAACTACTGCATAACAGCACAAGGGCTGAAAACACAACAGCAGCAGCAGCAAAAGCCAGCCTGCTCTTTAGCAGCAGGTGCTAGTTGTCATTTGTAAATAAAAGAAATCCTGTATTTAGAACATGGGAAAAATACAGTCACTCTGTTTTGATTATGTTGCTAGCAATTATGACAACATTACACCCTGCAGAATGTATGCAGGCCACAAATCTCGGGGGAAAAAAATAAAAATGCAGGATGCAACTGGGGGGAACGAGTTAAAATGACTGAAATAAAACTGTATACAAGTGGCCTTATTTTAAAAGGTCCTTTCCATAAGAGGTCATTTAAAGGCACGTACATAAACCTACCTGCTCTCCAGTCACTCTACGTACTATTTTCTAACATTTAGCTGACATTACTTGGGGATGTTCTAGCCTGCAGATAGGCTAGAAAAATAAACGCTGTCTTTTTGTCGCTCTTCCCAGGCTCGGGAATCTTACCTATTTAACAGCATGTTGCCCTAGCTAACTGATGAGTCCTGTCTAATGCTTTTCAAATGCACCAACCTTCTCAAAAACACTGGATGGTGTCATCAAACAAAACCTGATGTTCTGAATGATGGTGTCCGTATGCCTCCAGCGTCTTCTATCATGGCGCAGCCAAGCCTGAACGGCTTCATAGAGCTCTATCTCTGGAAACCTGCTCAGGTGATCGTTATCCAAGTAAGTCATGAGCTTTTCAAAGCTGAGATAGGAAAGAAAGTCAGGTCTGGACATGAGCGGCACAAAATTCTCTAGTAGAAAGGAGTCCAATTTTTCCCTGACTCCTTCGATGTTTACACCAAAATCATCCAAAAGTCTCATAATTTCTGCACAGTTTTCTAAGCAGATCTTAGCTAAGAGAAAAGAGCAGCAAAATTTTACCACCTCTATCAGCTGGACATACATGGCAGCCTGAAGGATTTCATGAACAGTGTTCATACTCAGTTCAATAGTTCCATAGTACATGAATTGGAGGACATGACTGAAGCCTGTAGCTGTCAGACCTTTCAAATGGATTTTGTCCTGATCTCGTTCTCGCATGTCAGCTGTGAACATAATCCTGAAGTAATCACTCTGGGTGGCAAGCAGGGCTTTATGGGCCTGAAACTGGTGGTCTTCAATGACAAGTGTGACATCAAGAAGCAATCCCTCCTCATACAGTGCTCTGAATCCAGCAGAGACACTGGTGTCATGGATGGAGGAGCTAAACCCTTCCACGTCCCCTGCCATGAATCACCTGGGGGAAAAATAAAATAAAAATAAAAATAAATTGTTATTTCTAATAGCGAATACAATACAAGTCCTTCCTGACCAGATAAATCCAATCCAAGATTACTTTCACTAGCACTTAACAATTTTCACCTTTTGTTTTCTGCCTTGAAAAAAAAATCATATTAACAAATAACTTAAAATACAAACTACAAATATTTCTCCACCCCAAATTCTTCTGCTTTTAAAGAAAAGGGTAATGAACAAGAGTAAGTGCGAGATAATGACAAAGTGATTCAGCACTTCAAACTAGCTACTGGTCAGATAGTGACTATTCGGCTAAAAGCTGCTCATAGTTCTCCCCCCCCACACACCTTTCCCAACTCCTTCTAAAGAATTATCTCTTGAGATAACAGGAAAACACCCACTCTGGAACATTAAAGGCATCGGAAAGAAAACGAAACCTCTTTAACTTCAGAAAGTGAAGCAGTGTGCCACGTGCTCCAGGTGACCCTGCGTGTGCAGGGGGGTTGGACTGGATGACCTCTGAGGCCCCTTCCAACCTTGGGCATTCTGTGATTCTGTGAGAAACAAGCACTAGCAGGTCTTTACAAGGGATAACTCTAAGTTTTACAATATAACTCAATTTATTAGCAAGCTGAACTTCCTAAGAAAGTATTTTGCAATTCCAAAATGTTATTGACTATCTTGTGTCACAAATATGAGGTACTGAGATTTATAAAACACAAAATACTAAAGCTCATAGGAAGCACTGGAAAGATTAGATCACAGTACTCGCTACTGTGTCCTGGACTGAGTGAGGCTTAACCGCATAATAAGTATTAGAACATGTTTTCAGATGCACAATGCTACAAAAGTGCAAACTGTAGCTTAATTGTAAATAAATAAATGAAGAATATTGCAGAACCCTACCGTGAAAAAGTGAATCAAGTATTCAGGAAAGACAACTACTGAGAAACTGCTCAAGGGCAGGACATCACAGAGGCAAGAAAGGACAGTGCACCTTCGGGTAGTAATCAGCTACCAGAATTGGCTCAACCATTTCTGTTACACGGCATGCTTACCCGAGCAGTTACCTGTGTATTCAAACACTTCTAACTCTGAATTTCCTATAGGAAATTCAATTATAAATTATGAAAACAGGAAATTAGAACTAATAGCAATTTAAGAGAGTTATGTAATGAAACAAGGAACTCGCACGAGAGAGATAAAATAATCTTGACATTAACACATTTAAGAAACGTAACTTCCAAAGCTCTGGAACTATAAGACAGCGAAGGACACCGGCATGGCTCCAGGTTGTTCCTGCAGGTTTCACAGCCGCTCCCTAAGGAGATGAGCAGCTGGAGCCCGAGACGGCCGTGCCCGGGGCAGAAGAGCGGCAGCGCTGCCCCTCGCCCACGCAGAGGGAGGTGGTGGGTGCGCGGCGGCTGGCAGCCCCACGTCGCCGCTCCGGCGCTTCCCAAGCCTGCTGCCAGGCCCGGCGTGCGAGAGCGCCAGCGCCGCGCGCACGCTCCCTGGGAAATCAGCGCTTCCTAACAAAATTCTAATTCCCGAAGAGAACAAACCCGACACTTCTCAACAACCCAACAAACCCAACGGCCCAGGTGCTTTCTTGCCAGGCAAGGGAAGAGCCGCTTTTCTAACTCTTCCCGCCACAAAGAGAAGCAAGAAACTAGCTGAAGTGGAAGTAAAGTACCTGTTTTTTTTTTTTTTTTTTTTTTTTTCCCCCCAGGATTTTGCTTTCTAATAGGATAATAGGATTTTTTTTTTTTTTTGTATCAAGGAAAAGGTAAGTGCTAACACCAGCTTTTCTTGCATTGGAGCACTTTTAACACCTCCCTCCCTCCCTCCCTCCCACCCCCAGCTCTCTGGTGTCTAATAATAGTTGAGCTCCTACTTCAGCATTTCCTCTTTAAGAGATCTTGCAGGCACTTGCCTCAGCCCAGGCCACCCACTTCCACAAGAGACACAGTAACCTGACATAATCCAAGACACTTTTGCTTGAAATTGGCCAAGGGGGGATCAAGGACTCTCTGTTCACCCAGTGGAGAACTTCCCCTCAGCTGCACTTCCAAGACAACCAGTGAGAAGACAACAGGAGGACAGCTGGTGCATGCAAATACAAGAATGGGAAAACACAACAACAGATGAATAAAGATACAAGGAATGTCAGAAACGAGGCAGCAGCAGGTATTATTATCTGGGAGTAAAGACCTAATCCTACAGCTCTCGCAGGTGACAGCGTCTCAAGGAAGGAGCTTCCTCAACACAGCTTCTGCATAAAGGAAGAGCCCCAGGAAGCTCCAAGGGTGGCCTGGGACTAAGGAACACTTGGTGTGGGGCCAATGCACGTTTCTACTCGGGAAGGGGGCTGAAGCACTGGAACAGACTGCCCCGGGAAGCGCTGGCGCCACCATCCCCGGCAGCGTTCAAGGAGCGGGTGGATGAGGCGCTGAGGGACGCGGCTTAGCAGGCAGGGTGGGAATGGGCTTACGGTTGGACTCCGTGATCCTCAAGGTCTTTTGCAGACAGAATGATGCCAGGATTAACTTAAGAAAAAGATAAGCACTCTGCAAGTAAGAGAGAAAATAACTTTTTACATCGTATTCCTTGAAAAGACCTAAAACAGGCGAGGGAAGATGAAACAAGCTATAGTAAATTGTACAGTAAACTGCAGTATTTACTGTAGTAAATGCCCGGGGGGAGGGGGGGGGAAGACATTTCTGGAGCTCTTCTTAAGGAAAAAAAAAAAAAAAAAACCCTACCTATCTGTATACATCTATACACAAAACCAAAAACTATCATTAAGGTGCTTTTACTTAAGAGATCGCCTTTTTTTTCTTTTTTGTGCAATCACTCATTTAACTTTCATTAAATTCAGATAAATTTAAACATGATAAATTCAGAAATAAGAAATATTTAAAGTTTTAAATCTATTAAGACAAAAAGGCGTCAGGCAGCACGTTGGGATTCCAATTTTCACATCTTCCTAAAACTGGTTTTTATGCAAAAACACACTGAAACCAGAAGCCCTACAAAACAAAGTGGCCAATGCCAAAACTGCAATTGCCGAATGCTAAAGAAAAGTGGGGATTGGGTACTGCATTCCTCTGCCCACCTCTCTCCTCTTATTATTTTTTTAACTACACTATTATATAACTAGAGTTAGCCTTCAGTCTCCAGTGATGACATATTCTTCCTCGCAAGCATCAGAGAGCATTTAATTATTTCTTAAGCAGAGCTAAGAAAAGAAATGACGAGACTTCTCCACACCACTTGGTAACGAAACTTCAGAAACCTGTGACTGAGGAAAGAGAAGCTACTTGTCCTCCCCCTTTAAATAAAAGCAGTAAATATCCCTTTTTGGCCCAAAGCCATATACTACATATTTTTATTTGTATCACAAAAACATATGGCTAGTGTATAAACATAAAGAATTGTACAGCAACTTGGAACTAGATTGTTAAAAGCATACAATGATCAACTACTGAAAATATTCCTATCTATAGCTCAGTCTAAAGGTAGTTTAAATATTAAAAAGAAATACAAAACACTCTCAAATTAAGTCTTTTTTTTTTTTTTCTTAAAGTACAGCTATCCCATTTCTCCCACACAGGCACTTGCCATCTTAAATATCTTTCTATGCATCACTGTAATGCCACAGCCAACTTCCCAAGAGGCAATAACACTTTTTTCATACATACTTCCAATAAAAATACAAAATTAAGAGTGAGATTTTCTCCATCCATGCAAATCATGACGGTGTATTTGATTCTAAGGAAGACATGTAGTATACACTGCTTTGTCAGAAAATTAGAAGAAAAAAAAATCCAGTATTTAAACAATAAAGCAGGGAGAAAAAAAATCTAAGCTAATGCTCCCCCCTGTTCTGCTCATACTATAGCTGCTCAGTGTAATGCAGCACTGCAAGTAAAATTGTCTGCTGAAAAAGCCCAAAGAGAGATAGATTTATCCTTATTTGCCTGACATTTCTTCCCTTTAAGCACATAATGCATTACAGAGTCTACTCTGCTACGACTGGAAAAACATTTTCTTGGAACGCTGGTTTCTCATCTTTATTCTACAGATGTAATAAAGGTCTGAAAACCCTGTTCCAGACTGCTTTTTCCTGCTGAACAAGGAGAACCTTTTTTCCTCAGGGCGTCTCAGGCTCTTAGTCACAAATGAAAGCAACAAAATCTAAATGTACACGCTGCTGAGAATAGTTACGAAATACCTGCATTTGGCTCACATCTTGTTTGCTGCAAAAATCTACCCCAAAACCAGCACTCCTGAAACCGTGCGCTGCAGGGCAGCATGTCTGCATTTTATATGTAGGCTTCCATGCACTTTCTAGGGATAGAAACACACGGCTCTAGGAAGAAGTGGTCACAAGGCCAACTCCAGCACTTCAGCTGCAAGGCAGGCTTTGTCTTTCCTTTCCTGCTCTTTCTTAATAACTCATTTGAAAAGCTGAGACAGAACTAGAAAGCTCCCATGTTTACAGATGACAAAGTATTTGTTCATTCTACCTTCCTCAAAGTGAATCTGAGTGCTCGTGTGAATGTTACTGACCAAATTCTAACCTAATAATACATTGCACCTAGAAGTTACACACCTTTTATCAGACACACCAAACCACATTTCTGTAACATAAAGTTAAAAAATTAAAACTGTAATCTCTTACATCTATCCCCTCTGCCCATTAAATGCACACATTTAAATGCAAATTTCACAGCCACTATAAATATGGTTTAGTTAGGCATAATGAAAAGTGCTTTCAGCAGAATACTGTGGACTGAATTTTGTTAAAACAAGCCCTTACTTGCACAAATAGGTTGTTTTCCCAGAGACAGATTTCATACATATGTATGAAAGATTGAAATGCCTTGGCTTTGGACATACAAGCAAAACACAAATGCATAAATTCATCACTGAAAACAACACCTCTGAATGCAGGTGGGTACAATGACTGAAGGATAAATAACTTATATCTACATTAAACCTTTATTTACGTGGTTTGACACTAAAACTGTTAAACCTTGTCCAAACCACCATTTTTCATCACAATTCCTCACCCAGAGCAGCAGAGGGAATGATGCAAAAGCAAGAATGATCAGTTACCAGCGGGTATCAAAGCACTCCCTTATTCCCAACTATGGCAAATGTAAAGATTACATCAAGATTCTGCTTTTTTTTTTTTTTCCTTTTTTTTTTTTTTAAATTAACATGGTAGGCTTCAGGGAAAGGAAAAATAATAAAACAAAACAAAACAGAACAGAAACACTCTGGTATTATCTAACACATTAGGAGAAGTCCCTGGTGTGAACCCTGGGTAAGAATTGAGTCCAAAGACTCAATTACTCCAAAAGCAAGGATTTAAGAGCTTTACACCCACTGGCAGACAAAGGAATTAAGGCTGCTAAATGTCAAAAACTTTCTATGTTAGTATTTGGGTACTTCTGAAAACAGCACCTGCCTCTTCTACAAGCTTCTCATAGTTGCAGGGATCTGACACTGAGAGCTCCTCTTGCAAACTCTGCCCATGTTGCTACCTTGAAGCTACGTGAATCAGCTTGCAACAGCAGCAGTGTTTTTATGAAAGTCACGTTTTTTGCGAGGTCATTATGGTTATGCTGGAAGCGCTGTCAGAAACAGTTACAACCAAACCCGCTAAAGCTGAAAATGGATTTTTGTCTGGGCTCAATGTGGTTACACCTCACACTAAGTACACTGAAGCTCTGCCGAGTGGTCTTAGCAGCCTCCACAGAGAATGCCACTAAGCACCCCCTTTTTCTTTGGAGAAACCCACAGCTCAAAGCAGGTTGCTACTTGCCACTTGCCGTATATTTATAATGGATAATATTTTCTGTCTGTATTGTGTTGTGATTATAATTGATATTATAATCCAATTAAGTCTTTCTGCACAAAAGGATGAAAATGTTATAATCGAAAAAAACAGAATCATTTTCTTTTAAAATACTGTTCAACAGTTAGTTTTAACATATGTTGAATTTAGATGAGTACAGATGGATTATGTCAAAAAATTCCCACTTTACAACACTAGCCATCAGAGAACAAAATATGCTCCCCAGATGGGCCATTAAATCAAGCTTTGAGATGATTATCAAAAGGGTTTTAAAGAAAGTATGTGCTTGACAAACATTTTTAAGACTGCCAGGCAAAGCCACGAGTTGAAGTTACTTGACCAATACCTAATTACACCTAAACTCAGCTTCGTGACTGAACACTACCGGAAGATACTCACTAGTTTCCCATAGTGAGGTCCCTTATGTGGATGCTGCAACCGCATTTCACAGACACCTGACACAGTTTCAGCTGGCCAAAACCCTGCCACGGGTTCGCCTGCACAAACCAACCAACCGCCCCGGTACCCAGGGCGAGCTGAGCCCAACGCTCTCCAAAGCGCTTTCTGTCACTAGGCCAGCAGTGACATTTAATACTGTGAACATATCCATAAGGATAAAAAAAAAAAAAAACCTTCATGGGAAAAACTTGCATCATTAATACCTAAGTAGTACATTATGGCAGTGATAAATTTGACAACCAGCGCTCTCCAAGAGGACAAGTCCAGCCTATCTTGGATGCCAGCAATCTCCAGGACACACACCGGTGGCTTCTGCAACCAGTCACGTTACTAAATTCAAGCGCACTTTGTCACTGAAGAGTGATTTTCAGAATACAGTTACTGAGAAAACCATACCTTACGCTGATCAATAGCAAGCATTTTGCTGCCAACAGTTAAAATGGAATCCTGCTTGTTCATATTGAAGCATATGGCCTATTAGCACTGAAAATCTTAGCGTTTTAGTAAAAAGCCAATGTACTATAAGTAGTAATGAAACTCTTTTAGCAAAATAATTTTAATATGATTGAATTTCCCCTTACAGCTCACTGACTTTTTTTTTTTCTGTTGATTCCTGACAGCTTGGTGAATACCTTTTAGTAGAAATTTAAGGAAAAAAAAAAAAGAAAGAAAGAAATTAGTAAGACACTGCTTTTTTGTGCAATACAGACCGCTTTCCATCCCACTGCCAAACGTCACCCCGCTTTCTCAGGGGGCTACCTCAAACGCACTTAATCTCCCCATGACAAACAAGCAAACAAGCAAGCAAGCAATGCTCTCCCTCGCCCGCCTCCCCCGGCAGAAGGGCCCGGTGCCCCCGCGGGCGGGCGGCGGCAACGCCACGGGGCTCGGGGCCACCGGCAACTTCCCCGCTCCTGTTTATTACTATTCCTATTATCTTTCCCACGCGGCAGCGGCGGCCGTTACGGACCCCCCAGCGGCACGTACCTCGAGGCAGCGCCGGAGAGGCGGCTCCTCCCGCTGGGCCCGCGGGGCCGCCGTGTAACATAAAGGCGGCGGCGGCGGCGAGGCGGCGGCAGCAGGGAGAGCGAGGGAAGGGGACCCCGCGCTGCCTCCTCCTCCCGCTCCCGCGCGGCCGGCGCTGCGGGCCGCGCCGCCCCCGCGCCGCTCACTCCCCTTCACCCTCCGCGCGGCCCCGC